AGTATTGATGTTATGGTTACGGGAAAATATGGCCTATGGTCATTGATTTTGATTAAAAGTGTTTTGAAACAGAATACGATTTTCAGCTTTTACTATATGGAATGAATTATCTGAAATTAATGTTTTGGTGATCTTCACCCTGCATTACATAAAAAGGGAACCTCACTAGACATACATGTCTAACCCTCATTTTTGTGTTTTCAAAAATATGTGTGCAGGTAATGATAATAAAGGAAAGAGTATTATGTGAATTACTTCCCTATTGTGTGAAGATCTTAATTAGCTATGTTTTTGGAACATAGATGCTAGGATACAAGAGCATGTACTTTTTGAATTTTTGAGTTATGTATTTCACGTTATAGACTCTTGTATTATGGACCTTTRTGGGGAAAACATGTATTCTATGTATGAAATATGTGTTATATGCAATGTATGGATTTGGGGTTGTTACAGTATAGTACTTTGTGTATTAAAATTTGTTTATAAGACTTTTGATAAATCTGGTTTATAGATTATTTCTTTTTCTACAAATTTAATCTCAATGTTTTTATATTAACGAGAATACACTAAGAAATATTTGTCTCTCGTTGTAATCATTTTTTAAGAGTTCTCAAATTTGAAGAATTTTATATTGTATCTCCTACTTTCTCCATTTTGTAGAAAGGTCTTAAAAAATCTGTTAAAACAAAAAACATGTTCAAAATCTCCATTTTTTCCATTTTAAAGAATTTGTTGGAGATGTTAATTTCTTCTATTTTAACAGTTTATTATAAAAACTCCAAATATAACCCCTAACAAGTGTTATACTGTCTCTCCTACTTTATCTTTTAGCTTTCAGCACTTTAGAGACTCTCAGGAGTCGTTTGTCAAACACTTACCCGGTAAGTGTTTATCGGCAAAATTTAACACTATTGTTTACTTACAGGGTTTTAGTCCATTAAAACAACATCGTATGCAACAATTTTCCCTGTAAGTTCTTACTATGGTAAGAGTCGTCGCCCTCACTTACCGGGTAAGACTCTTGGTCCTTGTTTCGCTCTTACCGGGTATGATTCTTGGTCTTTACCATATTCATTCGGTGAGGTAACATGACTTGTTAAGCACTTATCCGAATAAAGGTTTGATAAACGGCCCCTCAGTTTGAACATCATCATTTCAACACCTCAGATTGAGCTTCATAGTTTTCAGCCCTTCAGCTTCAGAAGCTTCTGACCCTTCAGCCCTTAGGCTACGTTTGGTACATGGGACCGGACAAGACAGGACGGGACAAAACTCTCTGTCCCATATTTGGCGCAACATGGGACAGAACAAAAACTCACTGTCCCACGTTTGGCGCGACATGGGACAAGGACAAGAACTGGGACAAGGTGGGACATCATGGGACAAAATAGGTTTTTTCTTATTCAACCAAAATAGGTGGAACAAGATGGGACAAGAATGAGACAGACACTAAAATATTACTAATCTACCCTAGTTTGATATATAACCTTAATATGATATTGGTTTTAATGGTCATCACCGCTATATTCGGCCGCTGCCGCCACTACCGACGGCCACCTCCACCTCCTCTTCCACTACAACATCCTCCACCGCCTCCACAACCATCATCCACCAAGTCTATTGCCACCTCTACCATAGTCGACCACTGACCACCACCGTCCATTGTCACCACCACTACCGCCGTTCGCCACCTTCAACTCCTCTACTACAACAACCTCCTCCACGACCACCATTGGCCATCACCATTCATTGCCACCTCACCTCCACAATAACCACCACCATCACTATCTTCATTACATTAACCACAACTACCTCCTCCACCGTTGTTAACCGCCACCACCACCAGAATCTACCATCTTCATGTCCTTTATAACCACCGTCGTCCACCAAGCACCACTGCCTCTACCTCCATAACCACTGTAGGCCATCGACCACCACCGCCCGTTGCCACTACTACCGTCGGCCACCACCATTTCCACCATAACCAAAATCACCTCCGCCACCACCATTACTACTATCAGTTATATCAAAATTTTCATTCAAATTTGATACAAATATGAAAACTATGTATAAATATTTAGAAATTAAATTCTTTAATTATTTACTTTATTTATGTTAATTATAACTATTATATAATATTTAAAATCATCAAATAACTTTTGGGGGTAGCTTGTTTAGTTCTGTCCCGTCCAGTCATAGTCGTACCAAACACTAGACATACTCCTGTTATGTCCAGTTTTGTCTTACCCTCTTGTTATGTCATGTCATGTCATGTCTAGTTCTGTCATGTTCAATCTTGTCCAATTACATCTGCGTACCAAACGCTACCTTAGAGTTTCATCGCTTTCAGCTCTCAGTCAATGATCTTTTCAATGCTTGATTTTGGATTTTCATAACCGATACAGTTCAAGTAGAATATTAATACAAAATACGATCTCTTTGTTTGTAATCATCAAAAAAAATTATTTAATGAATATTTTTATACACGACACATTTGCACCAATACATTGCGATCATGTCATAGTTCAAATCGAGACAGAGTGGAAATCTGTATTACGTGACCTTGGTCGCGTCCGATCCCACTTCGCCCAAAAACCTTACGTTTTTTTTAATCAACCAAACGACCCTAGCTTGTTACGACACTAAATCTTTATATAACCGCCATTTTCACGTGAAAAAAAGTTACAAATAAATGATCCATAAAAATTACAAAATCACATATGATGCATGTACAAAAGGTTGTAAGCAACTTGGTCAGCGTGACCCTTTGGAAAAGTTGCCCGCTCTATGGTTGGTCAATACA